ACATTGAAATACAAACTTATTTACTGCTTTATTATTCTCAAAAATTCCTTATTCTTTTCGTCTCCTGATTATCAATAACTCGATTTTTTCTCTTAATTTCTAGTTTTAACCGAAATTCTATTTTTTGGTTAAACAAATTGGTTCCGTTACCGGGAATCTGATAATCAAGCATATCTCAATCTAATTTTCTTAATTACATCAATCATGTCGAACGGCAACGACAACATTCAAGGAAACCCAGAAATTCAGACAGTCCAACAACTTGTAGGCACTCCACAAGGTTCTCCACGAGGGTCCCCACGACGATCTCGTGTAGGCACTCCTGATGGATCTTATACAGATGGACAGGCTCAATTCGAAAACGTTGAAACCATGAATGAGGCTCTGCAAAAACTTATTGCCTCTCAAGTCAATAACGCTCTCCAAGTTTTTGTTCGCCAATTGCCTGCGTTCCACCCACGTCTGCTCCAAACAACAACACTTTGGAGAATCCTCGTTCAGGGTTGATTAATTCTGGCAGCGGTGGAACCCCTAGTGAAACACAAGAGAGAGACCCAGGTAATCCAGTTAATTCTGATTTACAAAGTCTAGTACTAACCTTAGGGAAACAGCTCAAGGAGCAAAATGAACGCATAGAGAAAATACCTGGAATACCGCCCTTGATCAAGGGTGTGGATATAGATAAATATTCCCAACAACCATGGAAGCCAAGCGCTGCTCCCCTTCCAATTCCAAAGAAGTTTAAGATGCCTGATATTCCAAAGTATGATGGTACATCAGGCCCACGAGATCACGTTACTGCATTCACAACAGGTGTCAAGGGCAATGATTTGACTAAGCAAGAAATCGAGTCGGTCTTGGTCAAAAAATTCGGTGAAACACTCACTAAAGGATCCCTAACATGGTATTCTCTTTTACCTGAAAATTCTATAAATTCGTTTGCTGAGCTTGCAGATTTATTTATCAAAGCACACTCGGGAGCTCAAAAAGTTGAAAAGCGAATGGAAGATATCTTCAAAATCAAGCAAGGAGACTCAGAGTTGCTTAGAGAGTTCGTAGATAGATTTCAACGGGAAAGAATGACGCTGCCACGAGTACCTGACAATTGGGCAGCCATAGCCTTTGCTAGTAATTTAAATGAGAAGAGTTCAGAAGCCACGAGGCGACTCAAAGAAAGCCTTCGAGAATTCCCAGCAACAACGTGGAGTGATGTCTACAACAGATATAGCACAAAGATGAGGATTGAAGAAGACATTATTTTACGACATAAAACAGAAGAAAAGGTAAGCTCAAGGTGTGTTGAAAATGAAAAGAGATCCGGTAAAAACAGGTACGAGCCATACATGGGACCTGCGGGAAAGGACTCACGGTCAAGACAAGATAATCAAAGGTACGATCACAGACCTAGGAACAGGGAATCAGGCTCCTCATCAAGGTTTGGGAATGATCGAAACACACGCGGGTCACGAGATGATGATGGAAGTTTGAAGGCAAGATTTGGTGGATATAATTTCAACGTCACTACCTCCGAGCTCGTAGCTGTTTTGAGGAGCATGGGAGATAAGGTACGGTGGCCAAAAGAGATGCGGTCAAATCCAAATAAGCGCAATCCAGATCATTGGTACGAATTTCACAATGATCACGGGCATAAGACTTCAGAATGTAGATTCTTGCAAAGTGAAGTGGACCATCTATTGAAGCAAGGGTATCTCACTGAGTTATTTAGTGAGAAAGGTAAGCAAGCCTACATGAAAAATAGGCAAGAACCATCAAAGCCCCCATCACCCAAGAGAACCGTGAATGTTATAAGTGGGGGAGAGGATATTTATGGAGTAACATATACGGCTTCAAATAAAGTTTTCAAAGTAACAATCACACACGGGAAGCGAGTGCGACAGACCTTAGAAGATGAAAGTATCACTTTTGATGATGCAGATACAGAAGGAGTAATCACCCCCCACAACGATGCACTGGTAATATCTTTACTTGTACATGACACTAATGTAAAGCGAGTTTTGATTGATCNGCTCGTCACTACTGCTCATCTTTATTTACTTTTATTACTTATTGAGTTGGCGTACTCACATTACTCCCCGCACCTTGTGTGCAGATCCAGGGGGTTGCTGGACGTGCTTGTGAGTATTGTTTTCATATGTCGCGGATCTGTTGGAGTTAACAAGGTAGCTGCATGGCGATCGCAGCCCTGCTCTTCTCCCTTCTATCTTCCTATAAATGTTATTAGCTGGTTTCCAGACTGTATTGGTCTTAGTATTATCGGACAGTTCTTAGTAGATGCTCATGACTAGTGCACCTCGATGTCGGGCTTTCTTTCTGCACTATTGTTTTGATTTAAACACCTTATAAAGGTTTATTGTTAAATAGCTTTGTATTTATCTTAAAAATGAAAATATTGATTGGTTTTGGTAATGTGTCGGCTTGCCTAGTACCACGATAGGCGCCATCACGACATGATAGATTTGGGTCGTGACAGAATCAGCAATTTGCTCTTTGCGAATGCGACCCAAAGTCCACGATCGCAATGCACACCTTTGTGGCAAAAAACCAGCAACTAAAAATGGCCTAGATGACAGTTGTGTATTTTGGATCATACTATGTATTTATAAATTCAGTAGTGGTCATGTACTCAGTGACATCAGATCGTGGGATGATTTAGTTGTATGAATGCTATTGGCTTTTGTCATTTATGTTTATTCAGCTATTCAGACTATCATATCCTGTTATTTGGGTTTTTTGCTATTACTTTTTTGTTGGCTTGCCTAGCAAGTAGTATTAGGAGTTGTCACGGCTTTGGTGGGAATTGGGATCATGGCACCTATCTTTATCTAAGTCTGTATTGATCCTAAGAATTTGTAGGTCTTTCGAAATAACTACCTTATATGTGATTTTAGGTCTATCCCGTCCCCTTTTATCACCTTCACTTACCGTACGTTTATATTTTAATTAATTTTTATTTATTCTACTCAATTCTTTTACTATTTCAATATTATATTGGTTGAAAATAATATTTTATTTATTTCATAAATAAGATTGATTTATTTTATAAGTAAGTTCATAATATAGTTGAAGAAGAAAAAACTATCATAATATTAAAAAAGTAAAAGGAGATATAAGTTGATAATAGAGAGTAAAATATGTATTTAAAACGTTCAATTAAAGATAAAGGAGGGAGAATGCCTATTTTCAAATTTAGTGGAGGTATTTGACTTTTGGCAGAATACATATATAAATACTCAAACTTTGTCCGAACTATCAGTTTGACACTTAAACTTAGTACTCCCTCCGTTCTAATTATGTGAACCTGTTTGACAGGGTACGAAATTTAAGAAAAAATGAAAGACTTTTGAAATTTGTGGTCCAAACAAGTCAAAAAGGGGCCCAGAGTATTTTTGTGGTTATAAAAGCTTCTCATTAAGGGTATAATTATAAGTTTAGGCTAAATTATTTTCAAATTTAGGAAAGGGTCATTCTTATTGGAACGGACCAAAAAAAAAATATGTTCACATAAACTGAAACGGAGGGAGTAATAAGATAGACGCCTATTCTAGGCAAAAGTGTGTCCCATGAACTCTCGATTTGGTAAACCTCACATGAAAAATATAAATGCAATTGGTGTGTCAAAGTAACGAATCATCAAATATCACATCTAATGAAAGAAATTAAAGTCTAAACACATTTAATAAAAAAGAAAAGAAAAAGAAAAGCAAATAACCCCTTTCTTTTTGTTCTTCTCCAAGTCCTCCTGCACCCTTAACTGCTTGTCCCTTTTGCTCCTCCCACTTTTTCATTTTACTTTATCCCAACCTCTCCCTAGTCTCCCCCCTCCCCCATTTATGGTTCTGATAGATTTTCAGAAAGGTCGAGACATAGCAGGAAACTCCGCCATTGACGCTCTTTCTGAAATTTACTAACCTAGACCACCAAATATGCTTAACGTATATTATAAACATTTGTTTTCTCTTTGATGTTGTTTGTTCCGCAAGCTCGCAAACTCGTTCATCCTCGCTGCTGGAATCCGATAAATCAAGAAGCTTACCAACTTTGGTCTTATTTTAGATTCCTCATCTGTTTCTCCCCAAAGTTCATGTAAAACATGGCCTGAATCTGGACACACAAAAGAAAAAAAACTTTGATGGCAGAGGACGTTTGCGAGGGTATCGTAGTTTTGTTTTTAGAGCATTTCACTTGAACATGTACTTTATTTGTGTTATCTATATTATTGAAATTTTTCTGACTTTTGTTTCTGTGGATGATGCAAAATAAAGAAGGTTATTCAGCTTTTCGTGTTTGGGTTTTCGCTGGTTTGAAGATGCTGAAATGGTGGCAACGACGACGGTGGGCACTAAGCAAGGAGAGAAAATGTGAAATTAAGGGCAAATATGAAAATTCAAATACTTTTTAACTGTTCTAGGTGAGAATAAATTCACTAGCATGTCACGCATATTGCCAAATCAAATTATGGGGTTCTTTAAGTGCATTTTCCTTATTTTTTAAGCAAAGTTAAAGGAAGAGAATGAGTTAACAATTCAAAAAGGAAAAAAGATACAAAGCAATTCATAATATAGGTGTCGAACCTACGACTTACTACTTAGGAAACAAACGCTCTGCCTACTGACATTTAGACGCTTGATGTTACCATTTTCCTTTTTTTTTTTTTTTGTGGTTAATACTCCATCCCTTCTAATTCTTATGAACATATTTGATTGGGCACGAAATTTAAAAAAAATAAAGACTTTTAGAATTTAGGGTTATAAACAAGTAAAAAAGGGTCCAGAGTATTTGTGTGGTTATAAATGCTTCTCATTAAGGATAGAATTGAAAGTTTAAGCTAAATTATTTTCAAATTTAGAAAGAGTTCATTATTTCTGAAATGTACCAAAAAAGAAATAGGTTCAGGAGGAGGAAAGGAATTAATCAATATTTAGTCCTATATCTAGCTCCAAGGACACCGGATAACAAATCATTATTTCCGTGCACACTCATATTCATCACATTACTCCCATGGGCCTTTCCGCTCTCAATCACAACTATTTATTTTTCCCCGGCTCCCAAAAAAACTACACTCTTTGTTCCCCTTAAGTCACGAGTCGCCAGCCACTCTCATGTCAGACTCAAAACTGTACTTAGTACACGCTAAAATCTCATACCACTATTTCATTCTAGTCACTCTTTTATTTTAACTCCGTTTCTATAAATATATACATTCAATTCAAAACTTGAATACTAGTCTTAAACCATGGCCGCAGCTTTAGAATGCTGGTCGAGCCGAACCAGTACGGATGAAGACATGGTGGAACAAGTCTTAATGAGAACAAATGATAGATCGGAGGCTCAACCGGAAAATGCTTCTTCATCCGGTCCAAGCAATGCCGGTTCAGATGGAGGTTTTAAAGAGTCTTCAGCTATGCAGAAGCGTTTCCAGAGGTTGAGCCGGAATGTTTCTGAGGCCATTGCTTCACTTAAGAACTCGCTTAACATTGACTCGGTTCGTGAGTCGACTGGTCCTCCCTCGAACCGGGTCGAAACTTGTCGGAAACATGTTTGGGGTAGTGTAGTACGTAGCTTGACTCAACTTTACCCTGGCAGTCAACTTCCCGAGAAGCTTGTCTCTAACATTCGCAAGCATTACGATTCTTTGCCCCTCAGGTTTAGCTTTTTTTACGATTTTCCAAAATATTTCAGGAATCAACACTGGATCCGCACTTAAAACGTTGTCTCTATTTGTTCTTGATTTGCTTTGAAATTGATTGTTTTTTTTTTGTTAGCTATGCGCAAGCGGGATTCGAAATGAAGGAGGTGTTTTTACATATTAAATTGATGGAGCAAGCGTCAGTAGAGGACCAACCAGCGATTATGATTGAAGAGTTGTTTGATGATGACGTGGCTGGGGTTATTTTCAAGCTTACATTTGCTTGTAACTGTTCCATTTCGTGGCCTGCAATGTCTGGGGCGCTTGACAGTGCTTCCATTTGTTGTAAAAAGATACAGATCTTCGAAAAGAAAAGTTTTACATTGGGGGTTGTGATGCTTTTGGTTCAATCTGGAGGAGAAAGAATGTTTAGGAGTCGGATTGAAAATGCCATCAAATCAGCTGTTAAGAAGCCGAAATCTACTTCTATGAAGCTACCCTTTGGGCTTTGTGGATGTCAAGAGGAGAACACAAGAAGGAGAGAGTTAGGAGAGATTGAAGAGAATAATGGGCAGGTTAATTACAGAAATGGGTTTGAGAATTTGAGCTCAGAAGTTCAATTGCAAATTCCTTTACCCGGTGAAACATTTACTGTGTCAGTTGATGAATGGCAGACAGTGCAATCTTGTGGAGATGAGATTGGAAGGTGGTTGTTGAGCTCGGATAATCTCGAGTTTGCTGATCAGATTGGACCTAATACATTTAGAGGGGCATACAAGGGCAAAAAGGTTGGAATTGAGAAACTAAAGGGATGTGATAAGGGCAATGCCTATGAATTTGAGCTTCGAAAAGATTTGTTGGAGTTGATGACTTGTGGGCACAAGGGTATATTGCAACTTTTTGGTGTTTGCATTGACGAAAATCATGGGTTGTGCGTTGTGACTAAGTTGATGGAAGGTGGAACGGTTCATGACTTATTGCTCAAGAAGAAGAAACTCCAGACTAAAGAGATAATGAGGATTGCCATTGACATAGCTGAGGGAATTAAGTTCATGAATGATCATGGAGTTGCATATAGAGATCTTAATACACAGAGGATCTTGTTAGACAAACAAGGGAATGCTTGCTTAGGTGATATGGGTATTCTTGCTGCTTGCAATAGTGTTGGTGAAGCCATGGAGTACGAAACAGATGGTTATAGGTGGCTAGCTCCTGAGGTTTGTTCCTTCTTGCATCCTACTTGAGTTCTTTATGTTCCATTATGTCTGTCCGCTTATTATTGCAAAATTCGAAAGGCTATCTTTTGACTCGTCAAACATTATTACTTGTAGTAATCTTTAATTTGTCAAACAATTTGAAAAAACATTATTCCATTAGGTAGAGCGAGCATTTCAGACGACTTTGCAATTGCAGCCAGTTTAATCTAATTGTATTAATCTTTGTCATCGTCAGAAGCAGAAGAATTGTAAGATATATCTCTTGAATCGCTTTCTTAGTGATAGTTTCAACTTTCAAGATTCTGTTTTGGTGAATTATCCAGACAATAGTGCCGTTAATAACAGATATGTTCACTTACTTCCCCTGTACTACACTTGCTAATTGGATAGCATTCTTACAGGGGGGAGAAAAGCAGTTCTCTCTTCCAAACAGTAACTGAAATTTTAGTGGTCTTATACCATGGAGGCTAGATGAGTTTGCTGGTGGTCACATGTTAGTTTTCCTCCAAAAATGAGCTATGAGCTAAGGTGGTAAAATATTTAACAGGAATGCGGTGGTAGCCTGTACTGAAACTCTTCTATGCCCAAGGTAGTGTGAGCTTAGGTCGGTGATGCCAATTAGCCATAGCTCTTATAGGACTCTACGGGGCTCCACACTTTTGTTTTTAGTTTCTCATGTGCAGTGTGGACGAGAAGGTAATGGAAGCAAGACTTTGTTTCACTGAAAACAATGGAGGGCAGAGTGGAGATGTCAAAATGACTTGTATAGAGTAATGTCCTAAAAGACTTACATGGTGATTGGGGACTATGTTCAGATTGGCTAGCCCACATCAGAAACTACTAAAAAAATTTCTAGGTGTTAGAGCTTCAATGAGTGGCCCTGCATGCTGTAACTCATTCCTTAGTGTATCTCTGTCTTAGACAGGGAAACAAACTTTTATGGAGCGTTTTCTTTGATAACCAGATTCCTTCTGTAGTTCATGCATGTACACAGTCATAGTCTTAAGGATTAAAAAGTGCCCCTTGCTTTCTTGGTTCGCTGCAATTGAGTAGATTAACAGTTGGGGAAAGCAGGATACTTGTTGGCTATAACTATTAAGCATGGTGATTATTTCATTGGATAAAGTGTATGCATGAATTGTTATACTAATGAGAACTTCACGATTTTTGTTATTTTTGATTAGTGCTCTACTAATGTGAACTTTATGTCACTTATCCTAGCATCATTATTGAGCATGCACAATATGATATCATAAATGTTTTTGCTTTATGACTTTATAACTAAAGAGGTGCTGCATGATTAGGTCTCCTTGCAGCATTTCTAAGTTGATTTCTCTCCATGGAGCCTACTTAAAAGCAAATTAGAAATGGAGGATGTTGACTATCCTGCTATAGTTTAATCATCATAGATCTTTCATCCCATGCGATATGCTATCAACTTTGTATCAATGAGAAAAGAAGTAATAATTTATCTTATTTTTTATTTTAACAGATCATTGCAGGTGATCCAGAAAGTGTTACAGAGACATGGATGAGTAATGTGTATAGTTTTGGAATGATCATATGGGAAATGGTGACAGGTGAGGTAGCATATTCTGCTTACTCACCAGTACAGGCTGCAGTTGGAATTGCTGCTTGTGGGCTTAGACCTGAAATTCCAAAGGATTGCCCCCAAATCCTGACATCTCTTATGATAAAGTGTTGGAACAATTGCCCTTCAAAACGTCCTCAGTTCACTGAAATTCTGTCAACATTGATCCGACCCGGCAGTAGTAGCGGCAAGAATCTTAGGTAATAAAATTACTATCCCATAGTTCTGATGCAAATGAGTTTAATAGAGGCGATAAAATAGAGTAGATGCCCAAAATCCCAGATGTACATCTGTGAAATCAAGTTTTGTTTAGTGCAATCCAAATTAAAGCCTTCTCCTTATTTGGGATGTTTTTCCAGCTTATATGAAATATTTTGTGGTTAACACATTGTGTACCCTCCTAGTATGCTCATTTTTAGTGACTGGGCTTTCTGGTATTGTATGCATTATGATTAAAAAACTAGGGAAAGCAGATAAAGACAAATAGGAGAAAAACGATTGAGGCATGATGGAACAACATGGAGTAATTTGAAGGGCTTTTGATTTCAGCTGTTCTTTTATGTTTTTATGGTGGCTAGCAGAGGGTCCCAATTAGGGTCCTTTTGTTTTTGGTTTCTCACCAGGTAAGTGGAATATAGGACATGAACCATTCCTGTACATAGGTAAAGTTGTACATATCAATTCAATGTTCCAACTTTTGAAAGCAATTTCAAATGGATTTAAATACAAGATGTTGACTCCTGAATCTGTTACTGTTCTGTTCTCTCTGGCTGTATTGTTAGAATTTAGAACTTTCTAACTCTTATTGCTAAGTCGCACATGGTTCGAGACAAATTTGTTTGCTAATTCTTTCCTTGTTAATCAATAGGAGTTGTTCTGCCAATGACGAGATAATGAGTCATGAGAAATTACGACAATCAGCTGTAATTTTACATTAAGTGGTGAGATCTCGTGGTTCGTATGTCCACTTTTTGTTTAGGGGATCTTTTTGTTGATAACAAATGAATATATATTTCAATATTAAATAGAGATTAAATGGGTTGCCTGCTAACCTAATGCTTCGAGCTTTGAGATTTGAAGTGGGTCAGTGTTTACCCGTAAAATGGTACAATTGAATTTATAACGTGTTTTATGGACAAGCGAATCAATTTGATCCCAAAATGATAAATAATTAAATAAAATGTAAAACTTAGCGTTGAAATCGAGATAAGACAGCTAACAGCTTGGTTCAGGCAGCAATGCTTCCGAAGACAGCAATAAGAATATCAACAGATTAAAAATAAAGTATTATTGAGCTTAAAATAATGTGTAGCATAAGTTTGTCAGAATTTTCATGTGTTACAATGGCTGTTCAAGTCACTATTTATAGCTACACCTAGGGAACAAGGTTCTAGGATCAAGTCCCTCTTAAATGATAATTATGTGGCACATTGATGAATGCGTAACGACAGGCTATGAATACCAAAACTCTCTGTAACGGATTATGTATTTAACATTAAGGAATATTCTTCATTGAATGTTATGGGGTGACAAACATTCGTTTGTTCTCGTTAACAATATTCCTTTCGGGATCTGCCCGATGCCAACCGAAGCTGCTGTCCCTGGTCTTGGTTCCCCCTTGCCTCGTTTTTCGTCTGTCTCCAATTCCACGTGTCGCTCTATTATTCAAGTATTTAATAAAAATCGATTTTACCCTATAAAGATAGTCCCCCTGCTTTCCGGTGGCACATCTTTCTATCATTGCGAAGTTGGTGAAGATTCCTTTCTTGGCGGGAAATTTTCTGATCCCTTCTTGTAGTTTCTGACACTTGATTCTCCGCATTTAATATTCCGAACACGCGTCACTCCACGATTTAGCAATATTTTCGCCAGTTCTCGAGGTAATCATGGCCACTGTTTTAGCCGCTTCTTTCTTTACTTATACGCCTTATTCTTCTTCTTTTGCACTTCACAGTTCTTCAAACTCTCTCAACTTCTTTGCATTAAACTCTTTCTTGCTTTCACTCTTCTTTAATCTTCTTCTTCAAAGAACTCTCATTAACTTTTGCTAACCATGGCTTCCTCCTCCAAGAACTCAAGTTCTCCTAAAAAACAAAGAAAACAACGATGATGCTTCCCCACCTAAGTGAGCACCATCATTCTCAGAAGACTCAATACAGCTAAGTACTTTGAAGAGAAGTTTTTTTCTACAAGTTCTCGTACATGGGTTGTTGGCGTGTACCCTTCTTCCATATGTCCTTTTGACATTCCTGCGGTGAAGGAGGATTGTGATTGCCATGATCT